GGGGCATGATTGGTGATGTTGAATGATGGGCGGTCAGTACGAGCGATTGAGAGAGCCAGTCAGGAAAAATACGTGTGATTGGGATGATCAGTGAGTAAGTTATGCGTGAATAAGGGTGATCGACGGAATGCGATTGATTGTGCAAGTGGTGATGTTGTGGCGATGATAATGGTGATGATGATGGTGATGATGACCATTATGATGCTGATGGTGTTGATGATGATGTGGGTGTGTGAGTGAGAAGAGAGGGTGTGTGTTTGTTTTTGCACGTGGTGTCCACAGAACACAACAATCACTTCGGATGTGGGGAAACTAGCAACAACTTCATAGATGGAGGGCGGATGGTTTTCAAAATTTGGTTCTCGCTTTATCGCCGCGCACATTCGCACGGATTGAGGGTGGGCCGTGTTCAACATGTGGTTTTCGCCCTAGCGCCGCGCACATTCGTTATAACAAGTTGCAAGTGGTTATCAAAATGCGTTTGTTGTTCTAGCGCCGCGCACGCTTGTTTAAACACGTTGCAAAATATTCGCGGATGGAGGGCAGTTGGTTTTCAAAATGTGTTTTTCGCTTTAGCGCCGCGCGAACTCGTTGCCTATAAATTGCAAGGGTTTCACGGATGGAGGGCGGTTCGTTTTCAAAATGTGGATATCGTTGTAGCGCCGCGCACATTCGTCTAAAACATTGCAAGGGTTTCACGTATTGGGGGCGGTTTGTTTTCAGCATGTGGTTCTCGCCTTAGCGCCGCGCGCATTCGAATTAAACATGTGCAACAGTTTCACGGGTTCCCATGGCCAACGTACCAGAAATGGTGTTTTGGAGGGGTTCAGGATTGTCAAGGCGCAGCAGTTACATTGATTCGCAGTGTTGAGGTCCCAGGAATGGTATTCTGACACGATTCAGGATCGTCAGACGCAACAGTCACGTTGATTCGCGGTGTTGAAGTCCCAGGAAAATTGTTTTGGCACGGTTCAGGATCGTCAAGACGCAACAGTCACGTTGATTCGTGGCGTTGGAGTCCCGAGAAATGTGTTTTGGCACGCTTCAGGGTCTTCAATTGCTTGTCTCCCAACGGGGCACTTCCCCCAGTGGAAATGAGTCCTTGTAGGGGCTTATGAAGAGGGAGCTTGGAAGGAGGGTTTATTCCAACAGTCCAACATCGTTGATGAGTCTTGGGTTTACATTGGTCCTCCTCCTCCTCCTCTTCCTCCTCCTCCTCTTTCTCTTTCTCCTCCTTCTCCTCATCCTCGTGCCGACGCCATTCGATACTAAGTGGAAGAGTCAAGGGGACGCACGGGGCGCCCCTTAGAGTTCCCTGAAATCGAAGAGCACCTTTGAGTAGCCCCTTATCCAGTGACCCGACCGGGCGACAGTGGCCTAGGCATTGCCCTCCACAGGGAGGTAGGGCTGTATGGGCCCGGATGCCCGTCCGTGTCGATGGACAGGCGCGGGCACCCGCCCATGGTGCTTGATGCAAGGGCGACAGTGTCGGCTATCGTGCATCCGCACATTATGCGTGTTTACCGTCGTCGCGAGGCAGTCGCCTCAGGGACACAGTCCGGCGGCAAGGCCAGTGGTGCTGCACACTCACATATCCCTGGTTATATCCCAGTTTGTTTCCTGTGGGTGTCTGGCGGCAGTGCCAGTTTGCGTGCATTTGCTGATTCTGCGCGCCTTCCCCCCTCGCGGGGTAGATTCCTGAAGGACGTTGCCTGGCGCCAAGGCCGGCGGTCCTGCGCGCCCTCACTTTGAACCGCTACCAAGGTTCGTCATCAACGCAGGCTGGCGGCAATGCCAGCCATCGTGCGTCCGCAGTTCATGCACGCCTATCACCGTCGCGAGGCTGTTGCCTCCAGGACGTTTCCTGGCGGCAAGGCCGGCGGTTGCACATTTTCACGCGGCGCCGATAACCAAGGTTTTTGGACACTGGCTGGCGGCAGTGCCACATTTCTGGCATCCATGGACACAGCCCAACGGAACGGCCGGCACTCCTGAACCTTCTCACGTCGAACCGCTACCCAGGTTCGTCCCCATTCGGACGCAGGCTGGCGGCAATACCGGCCAGCGTGCGCCGGCAGATTATGCACGGCCACACCCCTCGCGAGGCTGTTGCCTCAAGGACGCTGCACAGCGGCATTGCTGGCGGTCCTGCGCGTTTTATTTTGTCTCCCGTCACCAATGTTTTGTTTTCTTTTGGGCGCTGGTTGGCGGCAGTGCTGGCATTCGTGCGTCCGCACAGTCTCTGCGCGCTTACCCCTGTCGTGAGGCAGTTGCCTCAAGGACACAGCACAGCGGCGAGACCGACGGTCCTCCGCGCCCTCGCGTGGCCCGTGTTACCACGGCTCGTCTCTTCTTGTACGCTGTCTGGCGGCAGCGCCGGTTTTCGTGCATTCGCAGATTTTGAGTGCATACTCCCGTCGCGAGGCAGTCGCCTCAAGGACAGCTCGGCGGCAAAGTTGGCGTTCCTGCACGCTCACATTGACCTGGAATTCACACTCGTCTCCTGTGGGCGCTTCCCGGCGGCGGCGCCACCTTACGTGCATCCGCAGATTCTGCGCGCTCGACCCGTCGCGACGCAGTTTCCTCAAGGACGTTGCCCGGCGAGAGGGCGAGCGGTCCCGTGCGGTCTCACGTCGAGCCGCTAAGAAGGTTCGTCTGAAATTTGACGCCGTCTGGCGGCAGTGCCGGCTATCGTGCGTCCGCAAATTGTGCGATGTTGCTTTCGTCGCGAGGCATTCGCCTCATGAACACAGCCCAGCGGCAATGCTGGCGGTCCTGCGCGCTCACATCTGGCAGTCACGCTTCGCATCATGTGGGTCCGGCCTGGCGGCAATGCCTGATTGCGAGCATTCGCCGATATTGCGCGCTTACCACCGTCGCGAGGCAGATTCCTCAAGGACGTTGCCCGGCGGCGAGGCCAGTGGTCCTGCGCGCCCCCGCGTCGAATTGCCTGGGCGTTGGCTGGCGGCGACGCCAGCCATCGTGCGTCCACAGTGTATGCGCGCCCACCCCCGTCGCGAGGCTGTTACCTCAATGACGTTGCCTGGCGGCATGGCCGGCGGCCCTGCACATTCTCACATTTAACCAATGACCACGGTTGTCTCTTCTTGTGCACTGTATTGACGCAGTTCCAGGTTTCGCGCATGCGCAGATCATGCATGCTCGCCCCAGTTGCGAGGAGTTTGCCTCAATGACACAGCCCGGCGGAAAGGCTGGCAGCCATGCACATTCTCACGTCGAGCCGCTGCCAAGGTTCAGGTCCTTCTGGACGCAGGTGGGCGGCAATGCCAGATATCGCGCATCCACACATCATGCACGCCCACTCCCGTCGCGAGGTTGTTGCATCAAGGGCATCAAGGTCACGTAGATGAGTTTGGTCTACTTCGACCGCGAGGCCGTCAAAAACAGCAAACACAATTCCATCGATCAAACCCGAAGGCACTTTCAGTTGACACGTCGGAAGTTCCGGCCTCCAGGACAACCTGGCGGCCATGCTGGCGGTCCTGCACGCTTGCTCTTCCTTGCGTGTTGTGCCCCTTCCAGGGCACGGCCCGGCGACAATGCTGGCAGCGTTGCTCGCAGGCTGATACGTCGGAGGGTCTGACCTCCAGGACACAGCCCGGCGGCAACGCCGGCGGTCCTGCACGCCTTTCCGCTCGAGGCCCGCATGGGGCGGCGACAACGCTACGGGTTGTTGTTTCCACTGGACATGTCGGTGATTCCGCCCTCCAGGACAAGGAACTGGCGGGCCCGCATGCATGGTCGGGGGGAGCATTTACTTCCAGGACAACCCAGCGGCAATGCTGGCAGTCCTGCGCACCTGGCACAGCCCGGTAATGACGTTGGAGTTCTTGTCCTGCAGGACAGAGCCCAGCCGCAATACCGGAGGTCCTGTACACCTTTCTAGGCTTAGCCAGCCCTCGGTGACTTTTGGCCCCAAGCGGCCTTCTGAGGTCACCGGCCGCCCACGACCCAGCATGGCCCCGAGCAGGGGCTCATTGCACCAGGGAACAGCGCGGGGTGGCCCCGGACAATATCTGAACATCAGCGCCGGGGGCCGGGGGGGGCAGTATGTTCAGAAATTGTCCGGGCCCATTGGTGGCCAGTCTCGCGCGTTGCAGCTGGGGCGAGGCAGCGGGGTGTAGTAGTTGGCGCTCGCGTGAATTGACCAGGTTCGTTCGAAACTGTTTCGCAGATATTCTTGGGGATCTCGTTCAATCTGCATTCCGACCCTCCATCCCTCCAAATTCCGCCGCAGGCGCCCAGAAGAATAATAATTGTATATTGCGGCCGTGCCCCCAAATTGAAGGCATACCCCCTTGCGTTGCCCAAGACCCCCCAGGAATCCCAGAGGTCCTGATGGGTTTCTGGAGGATTCCTCCAACCCTCCATGCTGGAGGATTCCTTCCTGGACGCTCTCTGGGAACAGTTTCGGGCCGTCGTGAAAACCGCTTGGGCCGTTTCCAGGCCATCTTATCTAGGAGCCGTTTCGGGGAGCATGGCTTTTCGTGCGGGTTAACACCACGGGGATGCGGTCGGAGATCACCCTCAGAAGTAACATCAGGAACGGGGGCATGTTATTTCACAGCCCCGCACCCCCCGCTTAATTTGATGTGTCGAGCAGAGGTGGCTGTCTCGGGGTATGCTGACCGCGCACGCCATCTACCAACGCCAGGTGCCAACAACAGTGCGCGCACAGGCCCTGGGACCAGAAGGTTGTCATTCCAACCTTCACGAACACCTTCACAGGGCTATGCCTGCCTTCGAGGGCATCGCAGCACTACGCTGCAATCCTCCTCCTCCTCTCCTCCTCCTCCTCCTCGTCCTCCTCCTCCTCCTCTTCCTCCCTGTCCTCTTTCCTCCCTTCCTCCCTCCTCTTCCTCCCCCTCCCTCCTCCGTCCTTCCCTCCCCGCGCCCCGCCCCCTCCTTCCTCTCCCCCTCCCCCTCCCTCCCCTCCCCTCCCCTCCCTTCCCCTCCTTCCACCGCCCCCGCCCAGAGAGGACCGCCTGGCCGCCAGGGCCCTCGAGCTCGACGCGGAGGCAGAGAAGACCCGCCGCTGCCGCGCCGAGCAGAGGGCCGCCCAGGCACGGCCGCCTCCGCCGCCGCCGCCGCCGCCTCCGCCCGCCCTCGCAGCAGAGATAATCACCAACACCGGCACCAAGGATTGTCCCTGCCCCTCTTCCTCCTCCTCCTCCTCCTCGTCCTCCTCATCCTCATCATCATCCTGCTCCTCCTCCTCCTCATTATCCTCCTCCTCCTCTCTTCTTCATCCTCTATTCGTATCAGTCTTATAATGGTTATTGGTGTTATTATTAGTATTACTATTATGACTATTATTGTTTAATATTATGATTCGTATTTTTCATGTTTATTATTACGACTACTATCATTATTATTTGTCATTTAATGTTTTGCTTTATTTATTTGTTTATTTATTTTTTTATTTAGTATTATTATTGTTATTCGTATTACGTTTACTAATACTAATACTATTACTAGTAGTAGTAGTAGTAGTAGTAGTAGTAGTAGTAGTAGTAGTAGTAGTAGTAGTATCATTACTATTAGTATTAGTAGTAGTACTATTATATCTTATGCATTATTATTGTTACTATTATTACTTGCATTATTATTCGTAGTAATCCTCTTCTTCGTCGACGTATGTTTCTTATGTCTATTATCATTGTCATTCTTGTTGTTCTTACTACTATTATTATTGTTCATCCTCCTCCTTCTCCTCCTCCTCCTCTTCCTTCTCCCCCCTCTTCCTCCTCCTCCTCCTCCTATTTTCCTCATCCTCTCTTCTTTTTCATCCTCCTCCTTTTCTTTCTCCTCCTCCTCCCCTTCTCCTCCTCCTCCTCCTCCTCCTCCTCCTCCTCCTCAACCGTTTATATGCCTCGCATGGCACTTGTCCAGACACGCCAGAGTCCAGAGGCCACGGCCTCCCCCATCTGGTCTGAGCTAGGCCCGGACGGTTGTCCGCGGCGGTGGTCGCTCGTTCGTTCAGAGGAGGGACCGATCCCGCTGTTCGTCCTGGACCTCGTCGCCAATGCTGCATCTGTTCTTGAGCATCGTCCCCCGCACCCCCTCCTGACTCCCCTTTCGTACCCCGTTCGACCGTCAGTGCACTCTGTCCCTCTTTGTTCCCCCCCCCGTTCGCCTGCTCCGTGTGGTATGTGGGGGCGGGGAGAGGGACCAGTCTTTACCTTTTCCTTCTCACCCCCCGCCTCCCTCCTCCCCCCCCCGCTCCCCCCCCGCTTCCTTTTTTGTTTCCCCGGCTCGGCCGCCTCGCCGCTGTGGGGGGGATGGGGGCCAAGGGTCCTCCCAGAGGGGCCAGGTGGTAGACTTGCACACAAGCGGCGTTCATATGGCAGCCCTCCCTTCGCATTGTATAGTTCGTCCCTCTTCCCTTCCTGTTCCCCGCAGCCTTTCCTTGTTTTCCCCGCCAGGTCTTCCCGCGGGTGGGCGGCGGGGGGGGCAGCTTTCAATTGGGGGGAGGGCTGAGGGTCTTTCCGGAGGCGCCAGGGACTTGATTCCGTAAAAACGCTAACGGCCCTGTAGGTAATAGCGATGTAGGTTTCGGTGTTGTGGGAACGCGTGGTTCGCGCTTTCCTACAATTCGCTGTGTCGTTTTCGTTCGATACATGTGCACATCGGAAATGTAGCAAGTATGGTTCGTGATTTCCTACAAATTGGTTCCCGCGATCACCGTCAAGCAACATCGCCGTTAGCGTGGCCTTGTTGATTTTTCACCAGCGGCCCACACGGCCGGTCTGATCCCCCCCAGTTTTTTTTTGTCTTCACTCGCCTGGACCCTCCGTGGGGCAGGCCAGGGGGGGGTGGGAGCTGAGGGCTCCTCCAGAGGCGCCACGCAATGGATTTTCACACAGGCGGCCTTCATGTGGTCCCCCGCAGTATGGATGTCTGTATGTCTTCCTTGTTCTCTTCCTTTCTGTCCCGGTTCCTTCTTTCCCGCTCGGACGCCCAGCGGGGGAGGAGGAGGCGTGACGGGATTTGGGGCCTGGGGGCCCCTCCGCAGGCGCCGCGTGGTGGATTTTCGCGCGGGCGGCGTATGCCCCCCCCCCCCCCCCCCCGTGGCGTTCTGCTTGTTTCCCCTCCTCCCGTGTTCTGGGTTTCTCAATAAGCTTGGGGGGGTAGTTACCCCCCGACGGGGGTCAACCTCGCCTCGTCGTTGCGCCGCGACGGGGGTCGGAGCGCCTTCGGCGCGCGGTGGCTGCCCGCGACGGGGGTCGATGTGGGGCTGTCGGCGGGAGTGACGCCCCCCCGACGCTTCTTAAGAAACTCGGAGCACGTTCGTTGCCCAGGTTCCTTCCCCTCCCCTCGCCCCCTCGCTCGGCCGCCTCGCACAGGAGCAGAGGAGAGGGGGAGGAGGGTGGAGGGTGGAGGGTGGAGGGAGGAGGGAGGAGGGGGGAGGGAGGAGGGGGGAGGGGCAAGCTAGGTGCGCTCGCGTCATATCTGACGTCCTACCCCTCCCTCCCATCC